CTCAGTTTGTCTCTCTCTGGTCAAATTTTAAAAATTAATAAATAATAAAATAATAACAAAGTTAAATACATTTTTAAAAATTATTATGCTGTGTTAATATTCATACAATACTTGTCATCTTTTTATTTTTGAGAGGTTTTTGCTATAGGGCGCATGCACTCTCCAGAAAGACAGAGATAGAGAGACAGAAAGCGAGAAATCACTCCCCAGAGGGGATGGCCACGCTGCAATCCCTTCTCCTCCATTCTTCTCTCAGGATCTTGGGCATGCACATACACGCACCCAGCGTGAGTTTAAGCCACTGGGTCCGGTACTCAAACCGTGATCAACTACATGGGAGTCCAGCGACATAGCCATTACGCCAACTGCTGGTCCCTACTCTGGATATCTTTTAGTAATTAGTTCCGTTTAAAAGTATTTACTGGAGCAGGCAGGTGGCGGCATGGTGGTTAAGGGCGCTGGAGTACATGTCTGACCTGGGTTTGGGTCCCAGACCTGGGATTTGCTTTCTCACTCCCTCCCCCCATCCTGTCCATCTCTGGTCAAATAAAAATAACTAAAAGTTTTTTAAAGAGTAATTCTTTTTGGGGAGGAGAGGCTTTTGCTATAGGGTGCGTGCACTCGCCAGACAGACAAGAGACAGAGAGAGACAGAAAGCGAGAAATCAGCCCCTCAGGGGGGTATGGCCACGCTCCAATCTCTTCTCTTCCAGTCTCCTCTCAGATCTTGAGGACTCACGCACACTCACCCGGCGTGAGTTTTTAAGCCACCGGGTCCGGGACTCGAACTGCAGGTTACAACATGGGAGTCCAGCGACATAGCCATTGTGCTAACTGCTGGTCCCTTAAAAAAAATAATTCTTAAAAGAAAGTGTTTACTGATCACCTGTTACAGGCTGTTAATTTATGCGGATAGGCGGTTTGGAAGGCGGCGTGGGGAGGGGAGAGGGCGGGGCTTCATGGTCCCGGCCCACGACAGCAACACCCAATCAGTTGCATGGAAGAGGCAGCCGAC